GGAGGAACCGCGGGCGCTTGTCGCGCCGAGTCCTTTGACAGATGCCGACTCGGCCCGCGTGCAATCTCCCATCGTGACTCCGCGTGTCGATAGCAGCAGCAGCAGCCACCTTCGATGCAGTCTTGACGACTCACTGCGCGCGCAGAGGTCTGCGGCTCCGAGCGAGAATATAAACATCTCTTCCCAGTTACACGTGCCAACGACGAGCCAACGACGGGTTAACGTGATTTTTTTCCCCCGTGCCGACGTTGGGGTCAAATTTGTGTACATCCCAAAGTGTGGGCCAACGTTGGGTTCACGTTTTACGCATTCCAACGTCGAGCCAACGTTGGGTTAACGTATTCATTACAACGTTGCGACAACGTTGGGTCAACGTTGTATACATTCCGACGTTGAGCCAACGTTGGGTCAATGATTCCAACCATATGCGAACGTTGATCCAACGTTGCCATGTGGGTGGAACCGTTAGACCAATGTTGGTCAACCTTCCATATTGACTGGTTTGGGAGACTTGCCCCGTTCCTTGGGGGAGGTTGGAGGAAACGGGGGAAGTGGCGAGGGCAAGTGGCGACCCCACTATTTTCGTTACAATTTTTTGAGATATTCTCCAAATTGTTATCGTATCCCCATTGTTCCATCGGCGTCGCGAGACGAAAAATCCGTTCGGAAATCTCGCCGTTGGCCAGCGCAGCAAGCCATTCGCGTTCGAGAACGCCGCACGGAAGTGGATACCACAGAACTACCTCTGAGATGCCTCCCAAGTGACTTCTGGTCCACACGGTAGAAGGCAGCACTTCTCACTCGCCCTGCACATGAGCGTAATAATGTTCGTCTCGCGACGTTCAAAACGACCTTTTTAATTCGTGGGGCCGAAATTTCGCCAAATTAAGTGCGGAACAAAGCTTAAAGGAATAATTCGAGTTGCCACCTGTCCGGGTTTGACCCGATATAAGTTCGGTGGCAGGGATCGAATTGTACGGAACTCTGGTGGCATCTAGTTGAAGTTTATTAAAGTTACTGCGCATGTTTTATGATCGACCTCGTGCTGACTGAGAAATATGTCCGCGTTTTGCCTACAGTCTTGAGACGGTTGGTAATTATCGCAGCCATTGGTGACCGGTCTGAGACCATTAACTGGCTGTACTTGAGAACCCAGTTGAAATGGCAGGCGATAGCTGCCTGGATTCGAACCCAGGTTGTCTGGGGAGCCTGCTCAGTGAGTGTGATCTCCACGCCACCGGGTTGTCTAATTCCCCTCCACTCTTTATTGCGTTGCCTGAAGGAAGCCTTTGTAGCCAGGCCGCCCCCCCCAAGCCACCGTTGGCGGTCGCCATGGTGACGCGCGCGTGTCCATGGAGATGGCGCGGGGGCGGTTTAAAAAATAAAATGGCAGCGGTCGCCGTGGCGACGCGCAGGTGTCCGTGGAAACGGCTCGGCGGCCGTTTAAAAAAAAATGACAGCGGTAGCCATGGCAACGCTGGGGCTGTTTAAAAAAAATGGCAGCGGTCGCCATGGCGACACGCGCGTGTCCATGGAGACGGCGCAGCAGTCGTTTTAAAAAAAAAATGGCAGCGATCGCCATGGCGACGCGAGGCCGTTAAAGAGTGAAATGTAAACGCCATCTTCATTAACACATGCTTTGTGCACGTGGCCCTCCCGCCAGGCCGGGCTTCAGCCGCGTTGCTTGCACAGCTGTGAGGCCTTAGTGGACGATTATTCACACAGCGGCACAGACAGGGGCCATTGGCAGCCTCGGGATCACGGTGAGGGTCAAGGAGTTGAGAGGATAGCCTCTTGCCACCTCTTCCAGTGTAGAACCAAACCCAGACGTATGTACGTATGTTTAACTTCTTTCGTTTTGTACGTAGCCAACCGTGCTAATCGAAGGTGCGGGAAAGGACAACAATCTAAACACACGTAGGCTTTCGCGACCAATATTATTCATAATCAACGTTTTTGGGTTTAGATTGCGTTATTTATAAATGTGTCGTAACCCTCCACCACCCGACACGGCCAATCAGTAAAAAAGTTTCACGTTGACAAAAGACAAATAGTTCACTGCTTTAGCCCACCGGTGTGTTGAAGCGTGAAACCACAACAATTGTACTCAAATTGTAAATTGTTGTGGTTTCACGCTTCAACAATTGTACTCAAATTGTAAATTGTTGTGGTTTCACGCTTCAACACACCGGTGGGCTAAATCAGTGAACTATTTGTCTTTTGTCAACGTGACACTTTTTTACCGATTGGCCGTGTCGGGTGGTGGAGGGTTACGACACATTTATAAATAACGCGATCTAAACCCAAAAACGTTGATTATGAATCTAACACAAAGAGTTGTTCTGAAGAAATGAGCTTCCAATCTATATATATAAAATCGCAAATCTGTCTGTCTGTCTGTGTGTGTGTCTGTCTGTCTGTCTGTGTGTCGCCGGACCATACGCAGTTTCATTGGACGAAATGTGAGGGATTTGCGAGACACGATTGGTCCGTTTGGTTTTCCACGGTGGTTGAACCTGGCAACGGGTAGCGACGCATTCGCTGCGGGGTGGACGCCATTTTTAATTCCCGTTAAAACAATGCGCACGCATTAACACGCGACTCTGAGGTAAATTCATCAAAGTTTCACGTCCTCTTCACTCCCCCCCCACCCCAATGTGTGCAATTACTATTATAGGGTCGGTAGATAATAAAATTATAGCGATTAGACAGTATTATTGTAGCGCGGGGGGGGGGGGGGGCGGGTAATGGCCCCAGTACCCAGCCTCAGCCGGGTGGGCAATTTAGGCGAGGCCGGAGGCTCTGCACGGTACTAGGCCTCGACACCCCACCACACTATAGGCCGTACATATTACTGCACAGCGGCCGAGGAGATCGTTGCTGGGGGGGGGGGGGGGGGCAGGGGTTGCAGCCCATCTGTGTATATATGTAAGGTTATTAAGAAATATATTTTTCACCCGGGCAACGCCGGGTACTTCTGCTAGTTGAGATATAAAAGTGCATGGCTCCAGTGGCGTACTAATATCGGAAGGAAGAGCGTTCCAGACGGCCGCAGAAGCGCACCTGAAAGCGCGCGATGCGATGACCACCGTCTTTGTTCGACGGCTGAGCCAAAAGCCGCTGCGACGATGACCGGAGTTAGCTTGACGGTGTATGCTCCTTGACGAGATCAGCAAGGTATTGTGGTTCGTTTGTGGAAGAACTTTGTGCGTGTAATGAGCGCGACCCTTATAATGTGTTCGTTTGGGCAACCGAAAGCCAATGCAGCTTGGCGAGCACTGGGCGGACATGGTCGGATCTTGCAGTGCCCGTCACGGGACGTTGTAACTCGGTCAACACGAGGTCGATCATGAAACCATTGCATAAAGTTCAACGCAGCAGCAGCAGCGACGCTTTTGGGGCAAGCAACGCCGCTGCCAGGCCTGGGTATACAAATCGATGCCTGCTGCCACCCAAACGCAGATGCCAGTTGCTGGACTCTCCAGATCAAACCCGGAGAGGTGGCTACTCTCATTTAAAATCAACACTGATTTATGCTAATGGAGTTTTCGATAACCGCGGATGTACGATCATTGATTTTGGATCATGCATGTGTAGCAGTGTTCATCTTCTTGGTTCTTTCGGTAAAGTCACGTAGAAGGGAAATAATAAAATAATAAAAATAAAACATAATTAAATAATTCTCACGACGTTTCGGCCACAACGCAAGCAGCCGTCCTCAGGTGAAGAACAGGTCTGTCGGGAAGACAGCGTCTGAATGAAACACCACCAGGCTTGGAGCGTATATTTAAGCTGGGTTGGAGGGGAAGAGCGCCTTGACAACATAATTTGCATATCAAGAGGAATTTAGCATATTTATGGGAAATGCAGATATGGGATTAGCCACTACTTGTGAAATGCGTAGGAGGTGGGCGGGGGGTTTCAAAGTCATATTATGCTCGTGCATTATGCAGGATTAGCAGCATCAAAGGGAGGGGATAGGGGTAGCATTAATAAAGGGAAGGAATGTTAATAGTATGTAGATGAATCCCTGCAGTCACGAAAGCTTTAAATCGAATTGTAGCGGTGTTCTTCATTGCAAAGGCACGGGGGCGACTGGCGGTCCCTGGTGGCCTGTAGCGCGAGCCCCTGACGTGCGGCCCACGACAAAACACAAATATCGATTTGAAGCTTTCGTGACTGCAGCGATTCATATTCTTGGTTCTTTCGGTAAAGTCACGTAGAAGGGAAAACAATAAAATAATAAAAATTAAACAATAAACGTCGTGAGAATGTTATTGTTTTATTTTAATTATTTTCTTGTTTTCCCTTCTACGTGACTTCACCGAAAGAACCAAGAACATGAATACACAAATAGTGAAAACAAACCCTTGCAGGCAGTGTGGTGGCCCCCACGCTGATGATGTCTTATCGGCGAAAGTGTCCCCCCTCTGAATTGTATGGAATCACACTGATTTAAAGGATCGTAGTGGATGTAGGATCATTGATGTGGGGTCATTGATTTCAGATCACTGGGTGAAGTACCATGGATATAAGACCATTGGTATGGGTTCATGGATTTAGGGACAGATTGGAGGTAGGATAATAGATTTAGGATCTTGAATTTTGAATCACCATGGATGTAAGATAATTGATGGAGGATTATGGATTTAGAATCATGGATTTGAAAACACTCACTGTATAAAATCGTGAATTTATGACCACGAATAAGAGATCGTCATTTTAACAGCACTGATGTAGGATCAGTTATGGTTTTTCTATTTGCTGAATTTAATAAATGGGGACACGGGGGAGGGGATAGCCTCCATTGCCCCCTCCATCCCTCCCGCTTGGTCCCTCCACTGATATTACACCACCTCCATGTTACAACACCTCACGAGGAGGCTTTCATCCACAGCTGCGGATTTCGACAGTTATAATTGTTTAATTGTTCTACTGGCAATTGTTAACCCAGGCCAAACCCAGACACACCTCAGGCCCCACCCAGTAGACAGAGAGGTTCAGTTCAGCGGGGCGAGGGGAGGCTGGGGTGGAAAGAGGGGTGGGGGATTTTTCGATTTAAAGCTTTCGTGACTGCAGGGATTCATCTTCTTGGCTCTTTCGGGAAAGTCACGTAGAATGGAAATAATAAAATAATAAAAATAAAACATAATAAAATATATTATATTATTTAAAATATATAATATTATTGTATTATGTTTTATTTTTATTATTTTATTATTTCCATTATACGTGACTTTACCGAAAAAACAAAAAAATATATATTATATGTTTTATTTGTATTATTTTATTATTTCCATTCTACGTGACTTTACCGAAAAAAACATAATAAAATATATTATATTATGTTTTATTTTTATTATTTTATTATTTCCATTCTACGTGACTTTACCGAAAGAACCAAGAAGAGGGGTGGGGGAGCTGTGGAGGGAGGGGGGGGCGGCCTCGTGTCTGGCGTGTCTCCACCTCGTGACGCGGCGTGGCCCTGTAAGCGCCGCTCCTGCGCCTGCCAACGAGACTCCGCGCCGCGAGTCTGTGGTCTCCGTGCGGGCTCCGGGCACGCGACCACACACACCTGGGCTCATCCCCGTGATGCCACACCTGGGGATCAACACGACAGCCCACACACACTCACTCACCTTACTCACCCACCCGACACAGCACACACTCACACACACTCGCTCACCTTACTCACCCACCCGACACAGCACACTCCATCACTCGCCTTCCTTCCTCACCCCACACATCACACACACACACTCACTCACCTTACTCACCCACCCGACACAGCACACACTCCATCACTCGCCTTCCTTCCTCACCCACACATCACACGCATACACACACATGATCAACCCACGACTTCATGGATACTTCGCATGATAAAGACAACGATCCCCCCCCCCCCCCCATATTGCCTTAAGTGACTTTTTGGGGCAAGTTCTGTTGACGAGCACCCATGAAGGCCGGTGCAGCACACGGGGTGGGGGGCTGGGGGGAAACTCCACGCCCGGCCGCCTTTGTCTCCCTAGTGGCGATGATTACACACCGTACCAGCTACTCATTTGAGACTGCGTCGACCTAGGGGAGGCACAGGACCGATCCAGATAATTGTCACTGGTGTTGGCCGTGAGCAGGAATCAAACTGGGGTCTCCGAGTTCGTAGCTCGGGGCGCTAACCGTTGCGCCACCGCTCACCACATTGCAACCGTGAATAGGGTGTCGGAGTGCAGCTGTAAAGGGTAGCATACCGAAACAAACGTTCCAAATGTATATATATTTTTTAATCCCAAATTTGACACAGATGTACTTTTAATAAATACTTTTCATTAGCGAATGGCATCTACTCTATTCTAATAACGTAACGGGATCTGTAACGTCTGCTGTGAAGCAGACGGTGCTGCGTAGAGCTTACGTTTCACGATACACACTCCGCGGAATTCACTCGGGCGGCCGCTCGGGTTCGAACCGCGAGCCTCTGCAACAAGGAGCGGGGGGAGAAACGCGCTGGCGCTCGACCGTGACACTGCGAGCCAGAGTCACTCGCGGTCATCGGTGCCCATGGAAATATCGCGCGCGTTACTGATCGCAGCATTATTATTACTGTAACAGTTGGATGTGCACTGCATTTATTCGTGAAAAGGGCCTCCCAGAGGTACCTACAGAAGCCCTGGGCATAATGCCACGTGGCGGGCGCCATTATTGCACGTGGCGGGCGCCATTATGCCACGTGGCGGGCCCCATATTTATTAGCAACAACAACAAAAACACCCCAGGACGGTAGTTGTGGAGTCCTCTGTTGTGCGAGATCCAGAAAATGTTTCATGTTTCCCCCCCTCCCCTCTCTACTCCCCCCTCTCCCGCCCACCCCTCTCCCTCCCTCCGCATGGAAGACCCTGCTTGCGATCAGAGGACATATTCTTAGGTTTTTCGGTAAAGTCACGTAGGTAAAAAATTTAAATTAATAAAAAGTAAAATTAAAATTAAATAAAAATCACGATTGCTGATACAGCAATCGTGCTGTGACGGTTCCACCTGAAGACGGAAGCTTGTGTTGCCTCCGAAACGTCGTGATTTTGATTTTATTTTAATTTTAATTTTATTAACTTAAAATTTTTACCTACGTGACTTTACCGAAAAACCTAACAATATGAATCCTTGCAGTCACGAAATCTAGAATCAGAGGACATCTCGTCGTGCGCGGGCTCCTCGTCTCCGTCTCTCACCACGAGACCCTCAAGTCTCAGGCGTCATCGCCGAACTGTAATCATCGTGCTCATTCGGTCGTCGTCGGGGTCAACGTCCGTGCTGCGTTGCCAACGTCCAGTTGCCACAAACCTGTCCACGCAAACGCGCTGTGGCGACCTGGGCCATTCCACACACGGGCGGGGGGGTTCCCTCCGTTAACTCGCCGATTTGACGTTGTCATCATCATCATCATCGCCCCCCCCGTCGTTTGTCAATGTCCTTTCCGTTCTCTCCTCTCTCTGTCGTCTCCTGCTCATGTCCCCCCCCCCCCCCACTCATTCCTGACAAAGGGGGGGGGGAGAGAGAGGATCCGAGTTGGGAATCGAACCCAGGTACTTGTTTCTGTTTTGCTGCGAGGCACGAGTGTTGTCACCATGCCGCCCCGGCAGTGGTAGACACGTGCTTGGTATACGACGGTGTATCACGTACCGGCAACTTCGCAGAACAACGCCGAATATAAACCGGGCACTCAGTGGCGAATCTTGAAACTTCATAAGACGTTGGAGGTGGGGAGGGGGGAGGTGGGGACGCTGCTATGAAAGTTTAGGGTTTTAGAATCGTACCCCACACTAATCAAACACACATTCGGTGTATATTCTCTGGTAAACATCAATAACACTGGGCAACACACTTGTTCTGGCATAAGGTATTACAACGGTTTCAAGGTAATTTTGGGGTGCTGATTCCAAATCTGGTATCAGTTTTGTCTATCAGGTTTTTGAGATATCAAATATTGCATTTTCAATAAAAAACTGCAGAAGAAAAATATTAAATAAATGTGGATATCTACATAAAATGATATTATAAACACACTATCCTAAAAATACAGCACCATATTTTAACACTAAAGCAAGTCACTGACTCGCAACAACTTGCAATCATAAGTGACAGAGTTAATTCCGGGTAAAATCAATGAAAATGGGGTATGCCGATAGCATAAAATGAGATGTGATAGAGCAAATCTGAGATCAGATTTGGAATCAGCACCCTGAAATTAGTCTAGAACAGCTGCAAAAGTCCAGGCCAGAATTTTTTGTTTGTTTGTTGACCAGTGTTATATACCGATATCCAGGGTCACAAGGGGGGAGCGGAGGGGGTGGAGTGCTTGGTGATAGACCCCATCGCCCCCACCACCTCCCCCCTCCGCCCGGATCGATCAGTAGACTCAACTCGCGGCACCAGGGAGACGCGACTCAGTGCGTCCCGACAAGACGTGACTCCAATCATAATGATTCATCTCATTACGCACGCGTTACATGAACCGGCTCAACCCATATTCGTTGTCATGAAAGTTCCATTGCCAACAACATCTGGTAATGGCTAACGCCCCCGTGCCTCTCCCCCACCTCCCCCCAGCCGAGCCACCCCCCCCCCCCCCCCCTTTGGATCAGCCACTGCGGCAACTTTTTCCAGAACGGTTCCTCGTTTGCGATGTCTCCGCAGAGGACAGAGACTGCAGTGAACTCACGGATGGGCCGAAGCGCGAAAATAAGTTTCCAACCACTGACTTCTGATGTTGCATTCCGACACTCGGTGCTGTTCAAGGTGCTCTGCTTTCATCCTCCAGTTGACGGGTCTGTCGATCAGTCACCT